GATCGCCTTGCGGTCCAAGGGACTCGCAGGAGTCTTCTCCAGCACCACAATTCAAAGGCCTCAATTCTTCGGCGCTCAGCCTTCCTTATGGTCCAACTTTCACAGCCATACATTGCAACTGGGAAAACCATAGCCTTGACTATACGCACTTTTGTTGGCAGGGTGATGTCTCTGCTTTTTAGTATGCTGTCTAGATTTGCCATAGCTTTCCTCCCAAGGAGCAAGCGTCTTTTAATTTCTTGGCTTCAGTCCCTGTCTGCGGTGATCTTGGAGCCAGGAAAATAAAATCTGTCACTACCTCCATTTCTTCCCCATCTATTTGCCAGGAAGTAAGAGGACCGGATGCCATGATCTTAATTTTCTTAATGTTGAGTTTCATACTTTAATACTGGGGTATATATATCCCCAAACCTGGAGGCTGAATTCAGGTGTTCCCAGAAGGCCCCGTCCCTTTACCTGGTCATCCTCATTTCCTCCAAAGTACTCATGGTTTCATTGTTTCCAAGCTTCCGTACAATTTTCTTCCCACTCTAAAAGGTCCAAATACCTCTGCTAATGCCTAGGTAACAGCAATAACAACTCTGAGCTACCATAAGGGGCATTTGGCCCTGTCCCTTGTCTTTGGTGCTACTTTTGTCTTCATTCCTGTCTGCCACTGGCCTATGGCCCCTAAGAGATTCTCTGAAACAGAATCTGACTATCAGAACCCATGAAATATTAGTCTGGAGACAGCATTTTCTCCATCCAGGCATAGCAATTTCTTCATACAGAGTATTCTTTCTTCCACCTAACTTCTCAACTTAAGACAGGGTTAGTTTCATCTTTTTCCTTCCCTACGACAGGGGTAGGAAATACGTGGCATCGCCTGCAGCTGAAGTATTGTGTTCATTTCTGGGTCCCTCATTACAGGAGAGATATAGCAAGGTTGGAATCAGTGCAACTAAGGGCCACAAGGATGGTGGCTGGTTTGCAGGGTAAGCCATATGAGGAGAGATTGTGGGAACTGGGTCTTTTCAGCTTTGAGAAGACTCCAAGGGACCTGTTAGCAACATACAGGTATGTGAGGAAATGTCACACAGAGATGGATTGTGACCTTCTGTCCCCTGCGGATGAGGGCAGGACACATTCCAATGAAGCAAAGCTCAGGGAACCAAGATTCAAGGTGGATGCCAGGAAGTACTTCCTGATAGTTAGGACTCCTAGGGTATGGAATGGGCTTCCACAGGAGATGGTTGAAGCCCCTCTGGTGAGGGTGCTCAAGGATAGGCTGGACATGCACATGGTAGGCATGTCATGAGCAGAGCCGCCTGGAGCCTGGGGTCTGGGAGACCCCTTCTGACTCACTCTGTTTCTATGTTTCCATTATCTCTCACCATTGGCTACTGCAACTGATAGTCCAATAACACCTGAGGGGCCACACATTCCCCACCCTTGCTGTAAGATCCCAGGTAAGCTAGATAAGGCTCAGGCAGCCTCAGTGGCATAAACTGCCATCTACCAGCTTCAGCTGGGGGCCCAGCTATGCCCCTGTCTGGAAGGGATAGCCTAGTTTCAGAAATCTATGCTCTGGTGATCACCAAATTACATTACTGAAAGCACTCTATGTGGACTTGCTTTGAAGACAGTTCAGAAGCTACAGCATGTGCAGAATGCAGCAGCCAAACTAATAACTGGGACCAGACAGTCGAAGCATATAAAACCAGTTCAGGAGGGCTTTCTTTGACTGCCTATATCCTTCTGAGGCCAAGGTGCTGGGTCTAACATACAAGGCCTCACAATGCCTGTCCCTCCCTGAATCTACATGCAAACTACACTCAGCATCTCAGGTCTTACTCTGAGAGGCAACAAGGAAGAGGCAGCTACCCAGTTATCTCCCCACTACAGCCTGCCTGTCACCAACTCTGGTATCCTTTTGACACCTTTTATCAGAGGCATTCAATAACATCTAATTGGCATGGGAAATACATTGCACTGGTCTAGCTGTATTGATAAATTGGTTTTAGCTACTTGAAGTCTTAATGTTCTTCTTAAATTTTGTATAGTTTTATTCTGTTTCTATTTGCATTATGATTCACATTTTAATGCATTGTTATGGACCCTCTAGAGAACTTTCGCTATCAGGCAGCATAGTAATGAAATAAAATTAAATGAAGTAATGAACACATTGGCTGCCAGTCTTTCTAGGCTCAATTCAAAATCTTGGCATTAACTTTCAAAGCCCTGAACAGCTTGGGGCCTTTCATACCTCTCAGGGCCCTAAGATCATCTTCAGAGGCCCTTCCTCAGGTACTCCCACCAAACAAAGTGAGGTGGTGACTATTAAAGAGGGGACCTTTTCCTTAGGCCCCCCTGGTTGTGGAATATTCTTCCCAGAGAAGCTCATCTGGTGCTAGACTCTCATCTTTTCACTGCTAGACATCCTTACTTTCCCAGTTATTTAACTCTTTCATTCTCTTTTGTTTTGAAATCTTCTGTTGTATTTCTAAATACCTCCAGGTTTTCATTCTGGTTTTATGTTGTCATTGTAAACTTTGAAAAGTTTTATATTATATTGTATATGGTTGCATTTATATTAACTGCCTAGTGAGTTTCAGCTATTAAGCAATGTAAAAATGTAATAAATACTCACCGTATATCCTGTGATGGTACTTGCATGCTGTTGAGGCATTCTCCATTGAATACTGAATGCTGTGCAGTTCAATGAATCCACTGTTATATCAAGAGGCGGTCCCAGCCTGTCTGTTTCAAAGAAATGACAAAGCATAAGATATAAAAACAGGAAACAGACACATCCAGACACAATCTTTTTTTGCAATGTAAATAAAAAAAACCAGGATTTTAAAACTTGCACCTCCTTTTTAAGGAAAGAGTTGTTTGAATTTTAAAAAGGATGTAGGGTCAAAGTACACATTATTCAAATGCTCTGATACTTTTATTCAAATTTAAGTGACTTAAACTTGATTGTGACCACTCTATGTGGAGGGCGGTTTAATCGTTCCCTCCTTAGCCATAATCCTGAACATGCCTGCTGCACAGCCAGTGGGAGTTTTGTTTTTACCATTGTTATCTGTCATATCAAAGGCAAAGTTCAGAGAACCTGCAGTCAGGGAAGAAAGAATTAAACCTCATCTCCCCATGTACTGTGGTCCCAACTGAGTTTGAGGTCCTAGACATATTTCTGAATGAAAGGGAGAAAGAATTGGAATTGTACAGTATGTATTTAACATAATGATCTCATTCACATGATCAAACAGACCACCGTTAGCTACCACGAGTGCATTTTACATATATACCCCTCAACTAGGGCTGCCATGTCATCTGAACCTGGTTATGGTGGGTTACATGAGGGGTAAAAAACCCCTAATTTAACCCATTTTATATAGCCCACACTGATTGGGTCTGGATATTATGACAGCCCTCAGCTGGGGGTTGAATATGCATATGAATATGTGAATACCAGGGCTGATATTCACCTGGTATGCACTGGTGAATATCTCTTAGGCTGCAATTCTGTAAATATTTATCTGGGAGAAAGTCCCATTGAATCTTACTTTAGAAACTTTGGAAATTCAAGTTTTGCATTCTTACTGCACTGAATGGTACAAACCAATGGCTCAAGAGGAAAAGTGCAAAACTATGATGAGCCCAGAATGGTTGGTGGACTTAGTCTGTCCATAGGCTTAACAATCACCTTTGCTTGAAGTTATTAGACTTACTCCAGAAGAAGATTCATATTACATTTTTTACAGAATCAAAAGAAACAATCCTTATTGTTTCAAGGTATCTCTGGCATTTGGTTGAATATAGATGCCTCTAAGAAGGCACAAAGCAATCATGTAAACTGAATTGAGCCAATATCCCTAAACTATGGAATATTCCATGACCTGTGCTTGGGATATAACCATATCCAGCTTTCATTTTAGGAACCAACAGTGCCATAGAAATTTCACCTACATGTAGTACAAATTTGAAGGTTTCTGATTAAGAGAAACATTATTTGATGAATTTCGACAGAAGTCAAAGGAGATTTGGTAAGACTGGCAGAGTTTCTCAGGTGAATACAGTACATGCCTTATTTTTATTTTTAATTAAGCTCTGAGGGTTTTGTTGGAAATAGATGACATGACATTAAGCACTGTCAAGTAAAGAAAGAGCCATGAATCAATAGAACCTTTAAACTAAGAAACCCCCCAAAGAACAGCCAGTCCAGGTACCTCTCTAAGTTGTCACATGATCTCATTTAAGGTGAATTTGCTCCCTCTGCACTGTGCAAAACCACTGGGCACATTCTAACAGAAGTCAAAAGCTTTTGGATAATATTAGCAGATTTTCTGAAGGTGGCATTTTCATACATTTCACTCCTCTTTGTGATTTTTTATGACTATGGAAAGCTAGAGCCTATAATGACAATATGTACTGAAAGATTAATAGTCGCTATACAGGTTAAAAAGGCCACGTTCGATATGATGAATTTGAGGAAGGAGTGTCTCAACATTAGGTCTTAAAATTAACAATTCCAGGATGTCAATACAACAAGGGTAAATACAGTAAATTTGCCATTTAAGACTAGTCATCTAGATATTTACACAAATAATGAAAGACATACAAATGGATTTTACCCAGTTGTTTTTATACACAGGGCTGTTACATTCAATCTGATGAGCAAACAAGTAGGCAGGCTGAGTCCTCGCATACAAAATACTGCACAAAGAGATGTTAAAGGAAAAGAAGCTGGTGATGGCGCAGGCAGAACACTGGCAAGACATTTTGATTCCTGAGAAGATGGACAAGACTGCAGCACCTTCCACTCCATGTACCAAAATGGATTGCACTAACAGATGGTTCTTTCTCCAGCTCTGGCCATGGGAGAACATCCTGCATCGTACCTGAAGGTCACAGGCTAGCTCATGGGGGCACATGAGGAGGCCCTGTGCTACACAGTTCTCCCTTTGAATCCCGTGCTGCTGCATGCCACTGCCTCACTCGGCCTAATGACATTGGTAGCCTGCTGATGGTGGCAAGATGGAAGTAGGGAATATGTGAGAAATTAACACACCAACTCCTTTATTTATTCTGAATCCCATCCAGCTCAAAATGTTTGGGTTCACTGCTGACGTACCCCTAAAAAGGTGTGTCCTGTCATGGGCCACTAGCCACACCAAGACACGAGACAGCAAACCTGTTCCAAGGAAGCCATCTTGGCGTTTCTCTTACATTTAGTCAAGCCCAGAGAATTTTAGGAATGTCCAAATGGACAGGCTGATTTCCTGAGTCACTCCTTAAGCCACTTGCCAGGAACACATTTTTAACAGGGGCCATAAGTTTTGAACTGAGGAAGAGCAGAGCACAGACACATCTGCTGACTTGCTCCTGCATGAGCCAAAGTCCCACATGAAAAAGGCTTGTTCATGCCCTGCCATTGTGAACATGAACAGGGAGTGCGTCTTTTCTGATGCAATCTCATTTGACTGAGTCTTTGGCTCTCACGGGAGGTGTATGAGGGGTGCACTTTGACACTGGTGAGAAGGGATCGTAGACTCTTTCACTGGAAGAAAGCACCTGGAGAACAGGAAGAGGATCTAAGCCCCACAACTACATGACATTAAAATCCTGGGTGTACTTACTCAAAATCACATTAAGTCCAATGGGGCTTACTCCCAGGTAAGCAAATAGGATTGTACTCTCATAGGACTGTACTATATGCATATCCACTTGGAAGTGCTACTAGGTTCAATAGGGCTTACTACCAGGTAAATGGTTAGTGGATTACAATCTAAGTCTCTAATGCTTTTACTTACGAAGAGCTTAAGAAAACTGTGAACACATATTTCATTCTCTTGCTTCTCAAGTAAATGTGTCCCTGCCTTCTAATGTTCTGGCCAAGTAATGCAATGATAACTGACAAGGATGGGGTTCTTTTTATTACGTTTTTGTGTGAAATACATTTTATTTTATTAGTCTTTAAGAACTTTTAACATATTTGGTAATTTCTGGACTGTTCTGATATGGCCTTCTAACTGCACCGCAACGTTTTTAGGTATGGTAAGGAGGTCCTTAGGACTGGGCACTACGCTGATGGTGGTCCTTCATGACTAGGCCCCTAAGCCCATTCCCACTCCCTGCACGTTTTCTTTCCCTGTCTCATGGGAATCCTTGGGACCTAGGAAAAAATATATTTTCTCTTTTTTTCCCCATAGACTTACTTCATGATCATGCATGGCTCTGGCAAACTTCAAGAAATCCTTTGCTTCCCCTCCCCCATATCAGTTACAGTTACAGGAGTTGCTTGCCTCATACTTCAAGTTACACTTTGGTTCAATACATTTCCCACTGGTGATTATTTAGTAACTGCCATTGATGCTTACCTCTGATCTTCAATTATTTTATCATAGGGCACCTTTGTTGTTGAAGGTAATAGACCTTCTTCATTAATTGCGAGTTACCCTTGGCAAAATCATCAAAGAAATAATGACTATGCTGTGCCACATCAGAAAAATCATTTTTTTATATACTCAGCCAATGGAGAAGTAACGGAGCTTTTCCTTCATTTCCTAGCTAAATGGAAACTTACTGCTGTTCATACCACATGTTTAAGAGACACTTCCATCCAAGTGCACATTTGCTTTATTTCTGTCTTGTAAATACATATGCAAAGTTAGTCACTGACTAAAAATGTTGTTTCCTAGCACACGTGTCTGTGGCAAATTAACATTAGACTAACAGAGAACTCTCTTCCAATACACTAGAGCTTCTTTCTCTGTCTGGTTTTCTGAATGATTACTTATTACAGGTGACTGCCTATATTTCTAGGCCTGTTTGATACTACCACTCATTAAATAAAGTTAAGATGATACAAATGACCTTCAACACAATGTCAATAGCATTTGATGGCATAACAGGTTTTCCCGAAAAACACTTCACGCCAGATAATGTAATTGGTCTTTCACTGGTGCTCTCCTAAAGTGCCGTTTATGTTAGTGGTGGTGTTGAACAGGATACTGCCCAGGTTTCACTTCTTTTATTTTACAATCTATATCACTTTCAGACCACTTTCAGAAAGCACAATAGTCCCATTGAGGGGAACTTCTTTCATCCTAGAAATAGTATGACTGTCAAACCCATATGAACTGAGGAAAAAGTCATGTTTGTAGAGGAAGTAAAATTCATTTTTTAAGAACTTAACTGTATTGTTAACAGACATGGAGAGCTTCCTTTGACAAGTTAAATGATCGTTTCATGTAGCATAGCCTTGTCTGCACTGACTGTGTGGGGCATCAGATAGAGAGCTTCCTGACCTTCTGTGGGGATGCTGAAGATCCTGAGAGTTTCTTCATGCTTTGCACATGCCCTTCCATGGAGCTATGCCCCTTTTCTTAACTAATCCAAAGTGGCTTCATGGGACATGTCTATGGTCAACCTAGGTCAAGAAGCTCCAACTGTTTTAGACCCATGGGTACAACTAGGAATTTGAGAAACTGCTGTGAGCATCACCACCAAATATCTTATCAACAGAACACTGCTTTGGTGTCTACCTGTCACATCTCTGGCTGTGTCTTACTCAGCAGATTTTTTTTTTTTGCCTTTTTAATAAAGAATTATCTAATTCTGGTAATTGCTAACTTTACAATACAGCTAAAGTTTATTCTAAGCATATATTTTGGCAATGTTTGGTAGTTGCTTCTTTTTGGGACAAAGTTATTACACAGATAAATTCTGTATGGGAACAGTTTCCAATATTC